GAGAAGTAAATAACTAAATATTTGTAGAATGCTTAGAGTGGTACTCAGTAGATAACAAGCACTTTGTGTTTTTAAAAAAAATAAAATCACCACTTACTGGATCTGTATTTTTTTTACAGCTCAGAATTTTAAAGTTGGAAGTGACCATGATTATTATGTAACCCCCTATACCTTTCCCTCAATGATGTGTCCAAGGTTTCAGTCCAGTTGTCATATATCATTACATGACATAACATAATACATAATACTGTTCATTTTCTGTGATAAATATTCTAAAAGAGAAAATACCTAAAATATATATCAATATTCATAAAGACTGCCATTATTTAATATTATTAATGTTATTTAACATACTCAAAGATGTGCATTTGTGTGCAGAGGTAAATCATAAATATCATTTTTGTCAGCACTCTCCTCCACCAGCTCCCCTGCCCCAGATGAAAACCATGGTCATTAATTATCCTTTTAAATACAAAGGGCAATGATAGACGCACTCTAGAATCCTAATCAATTCCGTATCTCCCTGAAAAGGTACTGAACAAGGTAATGCCCTACTTTTAAACACAATACAATTAACTAGTAGTTATTAACAACATAAGTTATGTGGATGGTTTACTGGCCTAATATTAAATTAGAAATTCACAGATCACCTTGAACATCAAGGCCCTATACTATCAATCTGAGTGAATATCGCAAATCAAAATGTGAATAGAACATATTACTTATCCTTAAAAAATCTCATTTAGGGGCTTTGACTTGCTACAATTTGCCTGAAAGGTGACAAACTTTGCAAGCTATTTTGATACTTTGGCTATTCCTATGTTCTGATACAGTTAACAGTTTCAATTAGCTCATCTAGGTACTTAGATTTGCAATTAGCTTTTCATTACTCAGAGGGAAAAAAATATTTTTCAATTAAGAATTCAATCAAAGAACATCAAAACAAAATTATAATTGAGGTTGCTAAAATAAGCAACTGCACCGACTCTGACTTGCAATTACAAATGTTTGCAGAGCACCTACTATGTGCTGGCACTGTCAGAGTCACAGAAGCAATGATAAGAACCTGGTTGCCGGTCTGGAAGTTCACACCTTCAGCAAAAACAGCAAGCCTGTCTAGTGTTCAAGATCTAAAAAAGGGGGTACACCTCTACATATTCCAGGCCAGGTGTGGGTCTTCCTTGTCATCAACATCCTCAGTACGCTACATTTTTCCAGCCAATCAAAAAGTTAATGTTGCTCTGCAACCCGCTACATGTAATTAGGACCTAGGACACTAACTGTCTACGTAGGTGAGACACTTCCACAAAACAAAGGTGAGTGAAATTCTTGTCGCGGGTAACATTTGCAGAAGACATTCAGCCCTCTTGTCTTTGTTTGTCTACCTGGCAGAAGCTACCTGCCCTCTGGCTATGGTTCCCTTTATGATTCTGCATTAGCTCAGCACTTCAAATATACATGAGAAATGCGGAGCCCACAAAGCTTCAAAATAAAACAGGAGACCAACTCTATCACTGCATCTGCAATGTACCCATGAGAAAAGGAATAAAATCCCAACCCCTTGCTGCTCTCCAGGCATCAATCATTATATACCATGTGAGTGGGTGAGTGTCTCATTAACCACTCATCGATCTCAAAGTTTTCTAAGTGCGGTCATTCCCCTCAGGCTGGAGGTGTTTCTTCTGCTTGCTTTCTACTGTTTGCTACATGGGACATCAGTGCCCTGGTGGGACTTGTAATGGAGGGAAAGAAACTGCATACGGGTCCCCTTAGCCAAGCCACCTCCATCTCTGCCTGCATAGGGTGCCTGCTTCCTTTGATCCACCCTGCTGTGACTACTCCTTTGGCCTCTGTTTCACCCACCCCTCCTACGCCCCAAGAATCTCAGCTCCCACACTTCCAGCCAAACACTTTTCTTACTTAATAATGTTTTTGGAGACACAGCTATCATAAGATTATTCCAATTATAACAACCTCCTGCCCCTTTCCCCATTCTCACAGGAGCTGGGCCCCTGTGAAGAACACTGTGGTGTATGGCATCGCCACACTTCTACATGTTTATGCAGCCATACCTTTCGGGGTAGGTTTGCATGGATCCTGCTGTGGGCTGTATCAGAGAGGGGGCACAAGCTCTGCAAAAGAAGGCTTCCTGATTTTTCTGGCTGACACTAATAGTATTATTCAGAACTTTATATCTCTAAATGATTTCACATTCATTGTACTGGGTCATCTCTATAACATGTCTGAGAGGTTTTTTGTTTTTTTTTTTTAAAGAGTAGACTTTGGGGCGGCACGCACTTGGGTGGCTCAGTTGGTTAGGGGTCTGCCTTGGGCTCAGGTCATGATCCCAGGGTCCTGGGATGGAGCCCCAAGTCAGGCTCCCTGCTCGGGAGGGAGCCTGCTTCTCCCTTTCCCTCGGCCTTTCCCTCTGCTCATGCTCTCTACCTCTCCCTCTCTCTCTTAAATAAATAAATAAAAAAAATCTTCAAAAAAAGAGTAGACTTTGATGGAAAAGTCCGGAACTTAGTCAAGGTGTTCAGATCACAAACAGCAGTGAATAGATAAGGATTTACCACCCACATGTGTGAGATTCAAAGCTTGTCAGCCATGTCACCAGTGAACATAACTGCACAGAGACAGTGTTTGCCTCTGCAATCCTGACTTGAAAATATGTACTATAATTTTTATTCTTGGTTTACAATGTAATCCTTTATTTATTAGAAATAAAATTTTAGAACTCTATGGTGAAGCTACTAGGAACTAATGAGTGAATTTAGAAAGATTGTAGGATACAAGGACAACATATAAAAAAATTTACATACTATTAATGAGCAACTGGAAATTGAAATGATAAAAAAATCTGTACTATCTGCAATAGCACCACAAAACATCAAATTCTTAAGTACTTTTGAGGATGTGTAGTATCTATATGCTGAAAACTGAGTCGGGTTTTGAAAAAAAAATCAAAGGAGACCTAAATAAAAAGAAACATACACTGTATTTATGAATCACAAGATTCAGTACTGTTAAGCCGTCAATTCTCCCCAAACTGGTCTATGGATTCAACATAATCCAAATCAATACTCTAGAGCATTTTTAAAATAGATATCAACAAGTTGTTTCTAAAATTTATATGAAAAGGCAGAGGAACTAGAATAGCCAAAACAATTCTGGAAAAAAAGAACAAAGTTAGAGGACATGTACTATTTGATTCCAAGACATACATAAAGCTAAGTAATCATGTGTCATGTTGATGAAAGATTAGACATACAGATAAATGGAACAGAATAGACAGTCCAGAAATAGACTTTTACATACATGGTCAATTGATTTACAATACAGGTGCAACGGCAATTCAATGAAGAAAGTTAACCTTTTCAACATGGTGCCAAACCAATGGGATGTTGATGTGCAAAGAATGAATCTTGACCCATACTTTGTACCTTGTAAAAAATTAACTTTAGACGGACCATCGAATAAATATAAAACGTAAGTCTGAAATTTCTAGAAGAAAATAAAGGAGAAAATGCTCCTGCTTCTGCTCCTGCTTGGGGTGTATCCCAGACATCCTGAAAACACTGCTTTTCCAATTCGTTACCTTTAAAGAGTCACAATCAAACCATCCGTTCCTCTCATAAATGCTTGCAAATGGCATTTTGTGCTTATTTGTTTTCTAGCGCAAATAGCCTGTTCCTATAATTTGTGATTTTAAGAGTTTTTTGCACTTTTACCCACTTGAGCAAACCCACAGTACCATTTTCCTTAAATATTCAGATATCACTTCTTAAGGCAAATCTATCTTCTCTTCATATAGGAACCACAGAATGAACACAAAAATATGTATGTTTGGAGATTCAGGAAGACTAAGACTATTTGCATACTATCCTAACATACACTGATCTCTCCTATCTTGACAAAAGTTTTGCTCATCATTACTTTCCAATTAAACTACCATCCTTCTATGTCAATGCAGAATGTGCTAGAGAGAACACTGGATTGTAAATTTTAAGTACTGCATCTTTTTAAAGTTTTTTATTTTTAAGGAATCTCTACACCCATTGTGGGGTTTGAACTCACACCCCCGAGATCAAGAGTTGCACGCTCCACCAACTGAGTTAGCCAGGTGCCCCGAAGTGCTGCATTTTAAGGTCAGTTCAGCCCATAACTAGCTGTGTGGCCATGGAAAAATGACTCACCTCCTGTAAATAATATTTGTCTCCAACCCTGACCTCTCTCCAGGGCTTTAGTTAGGAAACTTCAAATTCCTACAGACACATACAGCCTCTCATGCAGCATTTAATTGTTCCTGGATATTGGTTACATTGGCATCTTTTCCTATCACTCAAATTATAATTGTTAGTTATTTGTTCATGTATTCATGCTTTATTTCTTCAACTAGATTTCTCCAACCAGATTATAAATTCTTTGAGGGGAGAGAAGTACTCATATACATCTTTGTTTCCATCCAGCATCTATCACATAGCAAAGGCTTAAATATTCTAGGTTGCTAATATAATCACTTGAGCTTACATATTCTAGTTTGCTGATATAATCGCTTGCCTTTGAAAAAAATAACAGCCAAGTTTGACATACTCATGGAGTTGTTCAGGGCCTTCTCTGGCTACTCATGCTGTGGCCTCCCCTGCTGCCTCCTTCCACTAACTCACCCCTGACCCTAATCACCAAAGTCTATGGCTTCATTTTAATCTAGTTTGTTCATAGCACTGAACACTCTCTGAGATAACTTTTCCCTCTCCTTCTCTTTTTCTCTCACTGACTCTCTCTTTTTCCTCAATCTATTTTCTGAAGACTCCGACTAGGATTTAAGCTCCATAAAACCAGGGTCCAATCATGCTCACTGTGGTATTCAGAACCTGGACCCAGGCCTGGCACATGGTAGGCACTCAATAAATACTTATGGAGCTGTTGAACTTGCCCCTCAATACAGTGATACCGATTGGAGACTGCACAATTGAAAGGAACAAAATCACACGTTTTACCTGTAAAGAGGTTCTACAAGGTCCTTTTCAAGAAAATCATGATCATTCTTGACAGCCACAATGTTGATGGGAAATTGAGAATCTGAAAAGGAGAGAGAAACAGAAGTTTTTGTATCTTGTTTTTATCTGAATGGGCACCACTATCTTTTGACCACCACATTTCAGTACACATGACCGATCCTGGCAGTTACTCCCCCATTGATGGATATGTTGGTAATGTTTAAGATAGTAGGCAGTTTTATTTTTATCAAATAAATGCTTTTAAGGATACAAAGGAAGTGTGAAATATGAGAATAACCAAGCGCTTGCCCTTGGATAGGATCGAATACTACGTGCCTGTATTGTTGTAGTTCACTATAACTGCAGACATTTGCCTATATGAAGAGCTTTTATACTCTCACCATCCACCTAATGTCACTGACTTTTATCTTGATCAGTTCATGAAATACTTAGTTTGGCAGATTTTGTTTTCTTCAGAAAGGAAATTTCCCAAAATAAAGCTCAATGGCCTCGAATGTGTCCTTTTGTAGCAAAGCTCAATGGCCTCGAATGTGTCCTTTTGTAGCAAAATCTTGAGTCACTTTAGACTATCAGCAAAATACTCAAACAACTGATTCCATCCAAAGAGAACAGATTCCAACATCATGACTTTTCTCCCACAGACTCTTCATGCCACCTTTGGAGGTCAAGAGCAATCCTCAAGATGCAGTGTTAATTTTAGGTACCTTATTCACAGAGGGAAAAATTTAGAGATCATTCTCATAGAGGCCACAGTCGAATCTAACAGACAATGTCAATTCATTATCACCATCCTGCCATCCTTTCTCTTTCTCATTTTATACTTTGCATTGCCTCTACCTTGCCAGTCATAATCAGTGTAAAGGTATCTAAAACCCTAATGTGAGTTGGAAATAGAAACAATCTCTTCTGCTGATAAAAGCAATGTGAGTGCATTCCAGATGGTGCCAGAATGAGGACTGTCTTGTTCTGCTAGAGAGGGAGCATGTGTAATAATGAAAAACAGAGACAACCGAAGCCCAGCTGCCTTGGCTTTGAATCTTGGCACTGCTAATCTCTAGCTGTACAACTGAGGGCAACTTAGCTAACGTCTTTTGGGCCTGTGTTTCCCCATCTGTAAAATGGGGATGATGTGAATCATAATATTTACCTTGTGGTATTGAGAATATTAGATGAATAGCATAGCTAAAGTACTTTCAACAGAACCTGGCACATTGTATGCTCTATACTATTTGCTCTTTCTTATTATGTTTAGTCAATGCATATGGCTTAAACACAATTTGACAGGCAGCTTTTACTAACAGCAGATTTTTTTTTTCTTTAGGAAGAAATTTCCAAAAATAACCCAAGCTCAATGGCTTCAAATGTTTTCTTTTATAGCAAAATTTTGAGTCACTTTAGAGTATCAGCAAAATATTCAAACAATTGAAACTATCTAGAGAGAAGACATTTACTCTACTTCTTAGCCATCTGTAGGCAGGTCAGTTTAAATTGCATATTATCATGAGCTTACAGAGAGAGTTCACATTACAGGAGAAAAGCCACTGCGTTATGGCTCACAAGACTGATTTTAATTCTGATTCCTCCACCTTTTAATGTTGGAAGTCATGTAACCTCTTCAGACCTCTCCCTCATACTCAGGAAATTGGTGGTGGGGCATGGGAGTAGGGTTGCTTAGACGAAAATTATAAAACCCTCCTTGCCTACAAGGCTATGGTTTATAAAAAACTTGTATCAGAGATTCTAGACTTCAAAGCATATTCCGAGATATGCTTTCCTTCATCATCAGGGAATTTAAGTTAGAGAAGTAGAATAAGTGTTTTGCTTTTTAAAATATAAAACTGAGCTTCCAGGTGAGTGAGTGAGATTCCCCAGGAATTACAGGTGAATTTTGTTGATTCTTTCTATCTTACATACATTTTATGCCGTTGGGAAGAGAACTCGATGCTGCTTCGTGTGCTAGATACCCTTTTTGAGTCCTACAGATCCATTCTCCACTTTTCTACACCCTGCCTTGTGGCCCGAGGATCACCCGTGTGGATGGCATTCAAGGGGATTCATGTCCTTTGGCTTCCTTTCGTGTTAGGCCAATGGGACTCCCTCGCTGAAGATGGAGAGAGGAAGGAGTGCAAGGTCAGGGCATTTACCCTCCTGGTTCTCCCCCACTGCCAGCTGTGTCCTCTGCTCGAAGGATTCTCTCTCGTTCTGGGTTCTGGCACCCTCTCCCTCTGCCCATCCATCCCTTTGGGCCTACAGCAGTGGTAGCTCTGCTGCTATGAGCTCTGGGCCCCTGAACTGTTCTTCATGGTTTCTCATATCCTGTCCACACCTTTGTAATAAACATTTTTAGAAATAAATCCTCAGATTATCTTGAGTGTGCTGTCTGCTTACTGTTGGGATCCTGATTCACTATAGATAAGGACTATCCAAGAAGGAGGCAGAATTGATTATAACTTGGGACAGCACAGAACAGCATAGGGAATACAGTGAATAATACGATAATAACATTACATGGTGATGCTGGGGACTACACTTAGTGTGGCGAGCCCCTGGCAATGGACAGAACTGTCGAATCACTACAGTGTACACCCGAAACCGATGTAACACTGTATGTCAGTTACACTTCCACAATAATAGCAATCATGAAAGCTGCTGATGGTAGAAGGCTGGAAGGAAAAGGCAGAGTTGGGATTGGTGGTGAAGAGAGGAGAAGCAGAAAGCAAAGAAGTGAGAAGCAGGGTCGAGCAGAAAGTCAGGCAGGCCTGGGAAACAATATTCATGTCTAAATTGGCATCAGTGTAAGCGCTGGGATTGCAAAGGCTGAGGAAAAGAGACAGCAAAGAAAAATGGTTGAGAAGAGACTTGGAAGTCAAAATACACCATAGAATATGTGAGGTTCATTTTGAATTCATGCTCTTTATAAAGAGTGAAGGGAAGGCCAACTTACCCTCATACAACTGAGCGTATTGTGGGAACCCAGCAGCACGGAGCCAGTCACATGCTTCCTTCGCCTCAATTTCTGAAAAATACAAGAAAGGGAAATGCATGAGTCCAATGGGCACACACCAGCACTCTACCTTAATCAAGGAGAAACTGGTGAGCATTGTACAAGTTCTTACAAAGCAAAATTGTTCTCAGGTCAGTCTGCAAAAGTAGGCCTACCAGAAATGGGGGTAAAATGAGCAGGTCTCACAAAGGTACTTAGGTGTCCCCTTGAATGCCATCCACACGGGTGATCCTCGGGCCACAAGGCAGGGTGTAGAAAAGTGGAGAATGGATCTGTAGGACTCAAAAAGGGTATCTAGCACACGAAGCAGCATCGAGTTCTCTTAAGATTATCTTCAACGTCGATCCACAAGTATTTGGATAATAACAAAACCACAGATTACAAAGGCTGGGTTTCAGGCAGGGAAAAATGTCTTATTTATATACCAGGGAACCAGGGGGATACAGAGAAGGAGGAAATACTTCCTTATGATCCTTTTTTTTTTTTTTAATGGATTTCTTTTTAGCTTTCAAAGATAAGGCTAAGAATACTTATCCAAAATTCTTTTATTCTTTCACTCTTGGGATAATGAAACAACTGGATGGTCTATGAAAATGTATTTTCTCACGAAGAAAGGTATTACAAAAATCCAATGTATTGTTATTTTTTAAATTTTTCTAATGGCTTTAATTCCCAATGCCTTCTAACAAGATGTTCATTCATCAAGCACATTAGAATGGTTTCAAGCTGCAGAATACAGCGTGGAAAAGCAGAGCTGGTTATCTGGAACTGAGGCAAGTTTGATGGGGCTGCTAAAATCTGTGAGGGCTGAACCCAAAAGGTCGATATGTCCTTTGGGTGACCATTTCGGTGTGGATGTACCAACAATACACGGGACCACCTGCCTGGAGAAGCTGTGGACTGAGATGGGAGGAGTCTACAGTATGTGAACCAGGTCACTTTTTGACCTTGTGAATCCTGGATCATTTCCCATCCACAACTCTCTTAGATAAATATGAATGCAAGGGGAAGAAAGTTCATCTGTCAAAAGTCCAGTTTCTCCAAACAAAATTAAACAGCCTATTATAATGGGTTTCTACCCAGTCCCCTTCCTCTGCTGTTGGGATGGAGCCCGCTCAGATCACTGTATTTCCATTTACTCGGATGTTCATTTCTCCCCATAGCAAAAGCCGAGAGTACAGGGTGTTCTTGGGACAACTGCAAAAAAACGATCCACTCTGACATGGGCTGTGGACCTGAGCCTGTATACCTACTTTGAAAGCACAACGTCCGTGCATTGAATTCAGGGAATCAGTGTCCGTGCAAAATAATGTTCAATGTGACAGAGCTATCTGCTATGTGTTAGGGAAACAGACCAAAGGCCAGATCTTGCACAGGCCCCAAAGGGAAGAGCAAACACTTTCAGCCCCATCTCACTGACCCGGCTGGACATGGATTGAGATTTGTCATTGAATTCAGGGAAGCAGAGCCTGTGCTGGTCCCTTTCCCAGAGTGCCTGCTTCCTCTGGCAACCCCTAATCCACTGTCATTCCCGTGATCGACAATTTGTAAAATCTTGAGTTTTTTGTCTGGCATGAGGGTTTTTTACATTGGTACCAGCACAGACCTAATACATACTCATGCCTGCCATGTAGGCATCATTCAGAAATACCCGGGGCACCAAGCTGGAAAGAAAAGCTCTGGAAAGCATGTCTCTTAGGAAGGGGTGTCTCTGAGATCCACAAGCGCAGTTCAAAACAGACTGTACCGTATTGGCTAGTGTGGGCCGTCTCTGTGAGGGTACGAAGGACAATTACTGTATGGTCTAAGAGTCCTATTTAGTACTCCTTTGAGAGTCCTTATACGAAGGCTTCCACTTTGAAAATCACACACGTATTTCAGGGGAAGTAGGAAATGCACATTCTGACCTTAACATGTGGAAAATGTGGCGAGTTTCTACTGAGTCATAGACAGACTGTTGCCTTCTAAATTTTCAAGCTTCAGATTTGCTTTCTCTTTCAATATAATGCAGCGATTAGTAAGGAGGAAATATCTAATTTCTGGGTATTCTCCAAACTTAATTATGAGCCAACAAGTCTTTTTTTTCTTTTTTTAAAGGTTTTCTTTATTTATTTGAGAAAGAGAGAGAGAGTTCAAGCAGGGGGAATGGCAGAGGGAGAGGCTGCGTCAGACTCTGCACTCGGCACCGAGTCTGCTTGAAATTTTCTCTCTCTCTCTCTCTGTGCCCCCCCCCCCTTTGTGCATGCCTGCACTGTCTCTCTCAAATAAATAAATAAAATCTTAAAAAAATAAAAAAATAATAGCTTTTCTAGATAACTTCATTTTATTTTTTCACAAGAGCAACAAAGATAATGAACTGAAATTCTATGCACACGTAAACATGAATAATCAAATCTTAACCAGAATCCAGCTAAATCAAACGTCAAATAGGCTGATTTTTAAAATGGGTAGGCATTTAGCTTTTAAGCCTCAGAGTCAAATACAACAAAAACTGCAATTAGTAAATAATAAAGGAGAAGAAACCACATCCCAGCTGTGAGGGATGGTTCCTCGACATCACTCTCCCACACTCAACTTGCTATTCTATTTCTGAAAATCTCTCAAATATTCCCTGTGCTCTAGCGGTAGGCCCAGCACCTTGATATCTCAATCTCAGGGCAAAATCAACTCTTGTTTACCACGTGCTGACAAAGCAATCAAACAAAGTAATCACACATACCTAACTGCTCTTAAATTTAACTTTGATCATCACATTGATTTGGAGGGAAAAAAAGAGCCTTACAGTTTCTATTGAGTGAGTCCCCACAGCCCCAACTAACACCCATCAAACAAATGCTACTGTTTTCCCCACAGCCTATTACACTTGGAATGGCCAAAATGCCCGCAGAATTAAAAAGGAATCATTATTGCCGGTGTCATCATTTCACCAAGATCCATCCATCATTTGAGGAGAGTGTGAAAATCTCTTTTTTACTGAGCTCTTGCTGGCTAGCATAATATTCTGTGAAAACTTTAAGGGCCATTCAAATCACATCTCTACAGTTTTATTTGTTCTCTGTTTGCAGCCCATGCCTGCCCCTATAGCAGCTCCAGGGCCACAAGGCAAAGCATCAAGTTGCTGCAAGTCTGTAGAAAACCTGTGTGGGGCAGAACAGGAGAGAATGCCCTTGGACAGACTGGCCTACTGATCTCTACTGTGGTTACCACATTACATTACCCGAGAAAATTCAATCCGTTTGGTTCCATAGACATGATAGGATTTCATTAGAAATTTTGTAATTATTACATGTAAAAATCATTTCTCTTAAACTCTGTAGTGGGTGCCTATTTTTGCCTGCCCAACAACCTTCCCCACTTCTTCAGATAATAGAACTTTTTTATGTTCAAAGCCTCTTCTATATAGGTTAGGTGGGGTTGACACTCCTGGTCACCCTCATCACATTCCGTGGCCCTACCACCACCACCCAAATGGGCATGACCTACTCCTGAAGAACACCCGATTCCCCTTAGTTCAGGGAGACCAAGGAGCTTTGGGATCTTAAGTCAACAGTTGTTTGGAGGCTGAAATCTACTAGTTGAAGAGGGAGATATCCAGTTTTTCAATTTCTGCACAAAATCCAAGCAAACTTTTTCACTCAATAAATCCAGAAGATGGTTTGGTGCTAGGCATGTTCTTCTGCCACATATCTGTGATTCTACTTGAGGGAAAGTCACTCACTTTGCCTCAGTTGCCTTTCCTCCATCCTTAGAACATGATATGGCCTCTGTTGAGAGACAGACGTATAGAGGGAGGCTGTCTCCCTGGGTGCCTCAGGAGCCGCACACCAATGGGCATGGGAACAAAGTCATTGTGGAAACTAACTACAGCCTGTACACTGGTTTTCAAGAGCATTATATTATTTCTTAATTATACATGCTCAGTGTTGAAAAAATTATTAAAAAAAAACACAAAACGCACAATGAAAGAAAACAGTCAACTCTTGTCCCATTACCAACACATAATTCAATACATGTTACTTATCAAAATAGTAATCATTGTGATATCTTTGGTTGACTACCTTTTTCACAGAATAATACATTATGAATATTTCCCCATATAATGATATTGTTGGTAAAAATGAGAAATTTACTTTGTTTTGAGAAGGATGCTTATTTTTTAAATACTTGATTTTTGATTACTGCCAATTGTTAATCACTGCTGGGAGGTTATAAAATCAAGGTAGCCAAGAGAAAACAGTTCAGTAGGATTTCACCAACACAGACTGGTTGTGGAAAAGGCCGGAAGTCTTTGTGAGTTAAGAGATTTACAAGCTGTTTCTTTAAAGAAATATCATGTAGTGATGTTTGGATAGTCAGGTGGATAAGATTCTGGAGGGCTCCAGTCAAGTAAGGGGATATTTTGAGCACAGCAAATTTGCCGCCCAGGTTGGCAGGCCTCCTCTCATGTTACAATCTCATTGAATTTTTAAACTGGGGTGTTTCTTGAGTGGTTGGGAACAGTGTGTTCTCCCAGCTAAACATTTTAAGTACATTTTTTGGTTTCCATTATTCTCAGTGCAGCAAATACTTTTTCCATAGCTAACTCAAAGGAATACTATTCTTTTTAAATGACCAAAAATTCAAATTAGGGCCAAATTAAATTTTATTAGTATCAGAAAGTTAGCTGGCCAGAAGGAACCTGGTCTACTGTGAAAAGTTTATGAAATCATTATATAGAGGCATATGTATTTATGTTGTTCTTACAAATCTCTGGGAATTTCAATGGTCACACTGGCTCCAACTTGAGTAGGTCTTCTTTCTTAAGTGTTCATTAAAATACTCAAGAGAAGTGGGGGGAAAAGACATCATGGGTCTCCATGTGATTTAGAAGAGTAGGTGCTTTGTTTTTTCACTTAAACTGGCTAACATGGTGGGCACGCTGTTTCTGAAAGATTATGGGTGACTCAGCCACCACAAGATGTCTGCAGTGGATGCAATTAACACTATTAAAGTATATCAACGGTATTAACATT